TACTCGGTTTGATGCCATATATTTAGTCAGTAAATATAACCATTAATAATCTCAGGTAGATTATTTATGATCAGTTGAGGTAAAATTTGAAGGAACGTACATACAGTAAAAATTTGCCTATAAGGCCACGCAAACTTATATAATTAATTTTCATATGAGGGGTCGATATCCAGTAAGATGTCTGGTATGTATATTTATAAATTTTTGATTTTTAAAATAATGTTTTTACAGTTGTTTTCATCAATTCTGGGGCAATTGAAAAGTTGTCAATGGCCAGATCGATAAGTTTTTGATGCCAACCAAAGTTAATAATTTATCAATTCGGTCATTGAAAAACTTTTCAATTATTCCAGAATTTATGAAAATAGCTGCAAATAAAACTGAATACTAATCAATAAATGACCGTCATCTCTACTGACTAAATTAATACAAATTAGAAGAAATTAATATGAATAAATACTATTTCAAAAATTTTCAATAAAGCAAATATAGAATAAAATGAGAAAACGAACAACTTATTTAAATATTTAACTAGTAGTGTACCTGTTGCGCTTTAATTTTCTGAAGTTACATCTAACAGGAACTAAATTTATAAAACTAGCATTAGTTAGTAAATGCAACTTCAAGCACTTCTTAAGGTAAATACTGGCTTCAAAAATGACCTTGAGTTAAAATAAACGATCATAAGAAAAATCAACAGTAGTTTATTTTAAATACTTAGCTTAATAAATGGTTATATTTACTGACTAAATATATGGCATCAAACCGAGTAAGTTAAAGTTAAAAGTATGGCGCAACTAGAGTGGTAAATTGTCTTTACTTACTTGGTCGAAATCAATCTGTCATTGATGTATCGTCCAATCAAATGCTTGGACATTGGACAATGTCCGGCGGACAGTGTCTACTGGATGTCCGTGTCTACACACAATGTCTGTAGACAATGTCCGAAGACAATCTATTTCTTTGGACGTTTGGCGGACACGGATATTGAACAATGTTCAAATATATCTGTGTTCAAGTAAAATGCGCGGATAGTGTCTATGTATAACACTGATATAGAGGTAATAATGGGAAAGAGTAAACAATAAGCCACAAGGATATTGTGAGGCTAAACATGGGTGAAGGTTTAGAAGTATAGATTTGTTCTAATATTTATTTTATTTATTTTTATTTATTTTTTTTATCTGTAGCAGGATGTAAAATACCAACTTATTTACCAGCCATTCAAAGGGTGCTTTCAAGCAAAAACTCGGTTCTTCTCCTAAGCAGATATTGTTGTGAATTAGGTGTATATATATTTATATAATTGTGTTCAATTGTTTCCCGGTATATTATCATTGTCTCTTAATTCATGAGACAAACCATGAAACACTCATGAGTAATTCATAGAATGCACTACTAACAATGATTAGACAATGGATATCTTCTTGGGGAAGGGCTGATTTTTTTGCTTGAAAGTACCCAAAAATATCATTTTTGATTCAAATTATTTAAATTATTCTAATGCATCAAAAAAGACACTTAAAACAATGGGCTGCATGGCCAGTAAATGAGTTGGTATTTTACATCTAATTGGTAGATTTCTTTTATTTGTTTATTCTTGTATAGAGCAGGGTTAGATAGAAGCTAAAGCTTAGAAAAATATTCTTAAAATTGGCTTAGAAGGAATAGGTCTGGCTGGGCTAAGGTTAGGAGACAAAAAGAGTTATAGAGATGGAATACAAAGGTAAACTTAGGGTTAGAGATAGACGTTTATAATTATTATAAGTTTATATATATTTCAGAAGTATAAAAACGCCTTTTCTCCTCTAAATAAAGCTTTAGACTTCAATATCTTGGTTATAAAGGATATAAGAAGAATCGATTTCACTCTTGTTGTAATAAGTTTCGTGATATATTTAGTATTATTTAGCTATTTTATTGTTCTTTATTATTAAGACCTTTAATTATCATAGTATATTGTTCAATATTACCTTAGTATTTTATTATTACCCCTTTAATATTATTAAGTGTATTGCTTACGTAATATATTACCTTAATCAGTATAAAGTAATTATCTGTAAACTGATTTGATCTAATTTACTGATATAATTAAGTACAATTACGTAATCTCACGTGCCAAAGTGATCATTATAATCGATTATACAAGTTATTTATTAAAGTAGTTCTAATACAAAGAATATTTAAGTTAATTATTAAAGCTAAATTGTGCTGATAGTTCTATAAGCTCTTCCAAAATATTAGTAATACTATTATAACTAAAAAATGAGTTCAGTACTGTATATATACTGGCTTAAATTATCTGTAGCCAGAAAGTTTTTTAAATGCTTTAAATATTGATAATGCATTAATTATTCATTCGAGTTACTGATGATTTTAAGCAGATATATATAATATTGGGCGCTTTTAAACAAAAACTCGGTTCTTCTTCTAAGCAGATATTGTTGTGGATTAAGTATATACATATTTATGTAATTGTGTTCAATTGTTTCCTAGCATATTATAATTGTCTCTTAATTCATAAGACAAACTATGAAATACTTATGAGTAATTTATGAAATACACTACTAACAATGATTAGACAATGGATATCTTCTTGGGGAAGAACCGATTTTTTTGCTTGAAAGTGCCTCTGATTACAAGCAATAAAATTATAAATAATAGATAAGTCAACATATATCTTTGGTCTTTTTTTTGTGCTTATAATATTACTTTATAATTAAGAACAATGTAATTTATAATTAAAATATTTAATTTATGCACAATTTAATCTTTAATTTATGCACGTCAATGCACACCAAAGAGAAAAAATTAAAAATACAATTGTTTGTATTGTCTTATTTATATTATTAGTAAATAAGCTTTTTTTAATATTGTCTACATAATTAAATATTTAAGAACAGAATAACTTTAAAATATTTGATTGATGGCTTTATCGTATAATACTTACGCGATTTTTCTACTTGCATTTTCTTATTAAAAAAAAATTAATCAAATCCAATTTATTAAAATGTTAAAACCAAACAAATATATTAATTTACTTAATAATATCTTCATTAGAAGAATCTTCTAAATATGAATCCTTTGAATATAAATTAAAAACCTGCAGACTGGTATTATATTATTGCATAGTATGTAAAGGAGATAAATATATTGATCCATGATTGGTACAAGATCATATAGACTTGACTCAGATTGGATCTTCTAGTACTAATATTACTCAATCATTCTTATCAAGAGAAAAAAGAAGAAGACATGTGTTTAATGAAGAACCACTTTCTCAATTTCCAAAAAATGATAAGAGTTCATCTGATATATTTAATTTGTCTATATCAGAAAGATCGTTACCTCTGTTATCTCCAGGCCTTCAAGAACATAATAGAAGTTTAACTTTATTTAGTTTAAATAAAAGTTCTGAAAGTGAAACCAATAGTATAAACGACAAGAATAGTGAAGAGGATACTATATCAAGTTTAGAGCCTATAAATTTAAATGATTTTATAGTACAATTATCAACTTCAAGACAGTCAGGTAAAAGGAAGTTCAAAGCACCACCTCGTATTAATAATAATGAAATAGATATAGATCAAACTATTGATAATAATAATGATAGTTGTCCTATAATCTTTAAGACCATTGAAAATGATTCTATAATTATTGAAGATAATACATCAAGTAATTCTCTAAGTAATTCATCAAATAATTCATCAAATAATTCACCAAATAATTCACCAAATCTTTTACCATATCAATTACTAAATCTTGAAAATGATTCTATGATTATTGGAGATAATATATCAAGTAGTTCAAATAATTCAACAACTAACTTGCTATGTAATTCACTGAATGATTTTCTAGAAAAATCCCAAAATTTTCAAATTAATCAGATGCCTATTAACTTTATCCTACCAGAAATTACCTCAGAAATTTTTGATCCTCCTCCATTCGAACTTGAAAATGAATAGCCACATAAATAAATTGTTTTGTAGCTAGTAAAATTTTAACAATGCTTCAATCTATTGGATGTAGGATTAGAAACACTTGCTAAATGCCTCTGCCATATATTTGTACATTTTAAAATTGATAAAGCAGATATATTTCCAACATCCATAACTATGTTGAAATCTTTTTTAAGAATCTCAACAAAATATAAAAAGTATGCTATATGTCCAAAATGCTATAAGCTCTACAATCCAATAGAGTTAAAAGAATATACCAAAAATAATCTGCTAGCATGCAAAACATGTACTCATATTGAATTTCCTTATCATAGGGTTCAAGCTCAACGATCAGTATATAATAAATTCTTGACCAAAAAAATAAAAACAAAAAAAGGCACTTTAATACAACTATTATTGATTTATTCAGTTAGAAGCATCAAGCAACAACTATACATAATGTATCAGTGACCAGGTTTTGAGGAGATGCTATGGTATTCTAGAAATAGAAATGTTCCTAATGGAATTTTCTCTGACATATATGATAGAAATGTTTGGCATGAATTTTCACTAAATTCTAATAGTTATAATCCTAAAGCTTTTTTCACTTGAAATACACTAGATAGCCATATTGGTCTTGCTATTAATATAGATTGGTTTCAGCCATTTGATTATTCAATATATAGCACTGGAGTAATTTATGGTGTAGTATGCAATTTGCTACATAAAGAACGATTTAAACCAAACAATATTTTAACATTAGGTATTATTCCTGGACCTAAAAAAATTTTAAAAAATTTGCCAAATATAATATATAAAAATATATTAATAAAAGGTTATTCAATTTACATAAAATTTTCAGAATATAGGGGGTATCAGTAAAAACCAAGCAATTTGTTTCTAAGTAAATTTTTTTTAAACTTTGATCTAAAATATCTTAACAACTATTAAACCAAACTTAATAAAAATTTTTTTATTTTAATTCTATATAGTTATAGAATTAAAATAAAAAATTTTTATCAAGTTTGGTTTAATAGTTGTTGAGATATTTTAATTTAAAATTTAAAAAAAACTCACTAAAAAC